TTCCTCAGGCTGGTCTCGAACTCCTGAGCTCAAATGATCCGCCCGCCTCAGCCTCTCAGAGTGCTAGGATTACAGGTGTGAGCCACTGCGCCCAGCCTAGTTTTATTTATTTTTTTATAGATCTCTTTATTAACTTTATGATAAAACCTAACTCTCTTTTCCTCTGTGATTTCTAACATTGCTTTAAAAATTAAAATATCTTCCCCATCTAGAGAGTTGGTAAATATATAATTCTAGGTGGTTTTCTTTCTTTCTATTTTAATGATTTAAAAATTTATTCAACAATTTATATAGTTAGTTAATTTATTAACAAATAATATAGTACATTCACAGTCAGTCGAGGTGTCAAAGCAGACTTAATTGTTTCATATAACTTAAATAAAAGTAACATTTACTAATGATTGAAGCTATACAAGTAAAATCAGGCAGAGATGTAGCATTTTTTTCTGGGAAAGCTGATATCTGTCAGACACAGCTTCCAAATTGTCCTTTTTTTCCTCCCTAGGATTCTTTTTGGTTTTTAATTAACAGACAAGTTTTTAACTTTTTTATTGTATATACTTAAGATGTACGATATATTTTTATATACTTATACACAGGGAAATGATTTCTACAGTTAAGCAAATTAACATATTCATCATATCACATATTTATCTTTTTTTGTGGCAAAATTACCTAAATCTACTCTTTTAGGAAATTTTCAGTATACAATACAATATCATTAACAGTAGTCATCATGCTATACATTAGATTGTTTTGAATGACATTTTTAGAAACCTTGTTCTCAAAGAATGCCATTTTTGTTTGGTGCTTCTCATTTTTGTATTCTTAAAAGTTACATAGATGGGAAATGCCTATATGATAAATTTCCACTCTTCACCAGTCATGCTCCATAAATCATAAATTCTAGGTATTTTTGATAGGCCATCCAGACAAGATATGAATGGCAAAGACCTTCTTTGGATAAGTCCACTGGTCAATCTCATTTCTATGTTAACAGGGAGGTCTGATCAAATCCATCATTCCCTCAGCCATCACCTCAGTAGAAGGAGATGATTCACAAACCTGCTGGTATCTTTTTACTTCAAAAATACATGCATTCATTTTTTTTTTTTTTTTTCCCGAGACAGAGTCTCACTCTATTCCCTGGGCTGGAGTGCTGTGGCGTTAGCATAGCTCACAGCAACCTCAGACTCCTGGGCTCAAGCGATCCTTCTGCCTCAGCCTCC